GTGTGTGTGTGTGTGTGTGTGTGTGTGTGTGTGTGTGTGTGTGTGTGTGTGAGAGAGAGAGAGAGAGAGAGAGAGTCTGTGTGTGTGTGTTAGAGAGAGAGTAATAATTCTGCTCTCTTTCCTTCTTTCACGTCTATTCTTCATCCCCTCTTGTCTCTGTCATCTTCCGCCACATTTCATGAGAGCTACCTTGCAGTGGCCAAAACAAGAAGTTTTCTAACTCTCCTCTTCCACCTTTTCCCTCCTTTTCTGTTTAGTGCACTACATGCAGGCCTCCAGAAAACCACGAGTGACTGAGACTTTTAGAAAAGAGAATGCCCTCTTTCTCTGCTATTGTTCAGAGTTAACCACATGCTGAAATCTCCCTTTCCGCTTGCTTTCAGTTCCTTCCTCATGGCGTGTGTAGGCAAGTAATGAAAGGGTGTTTAATCCGTTCAAGGCACAAATCCAATAAAATATAAACATGGCAAAATCATTTTTATAGCTGAAGGGAAACAAACTCCAGAGACTGCTGTTGTGTCCAGTAAGTAAGGTGGATTTATTCTTTTTTATTTTATCATTATAGAGTTAACTGGGACAAGATGTCCTGAACAGCTTGCAGCAAACATTAGAACAGGTTTTCTTTTATAGCAACATCACAACAACAGTCGCCTCTAAGTACTGTATAGTGTGAGGTAAAGACACTACAATATTAGAAAGAAAATCACACCAATTAAACAACCCCTATGAGCAAGCACTTGGCCACAGTGGGGAAGAAGAAACTCACTTTTAACGGGAAGAAACCTCCTGCAGAACCAGCAGGAGAGATTTCGGATTCACACATCAGAGCATTTCAGGTTTAAAAAGCAGAGATACAGACAAAAGAAGATGAGAGGGGCAGGCACATGCCGGTGACAGGAAAGGTTGTTTGGTCCATTCACAGAGTGAACTCGGCAGCAGGGACAGCTCATCGAGGCAATTAAGCATCAGATTAGCTGAAAAAACCTCAAAGTCACAAAGTGCACCTGTGGTACACTTTCCTCCTTAAAATTAGGGAGACTTACACTTCAAGATTGTATCTCACATTTCTGCTGCAAATGGTTGAGAAGCAACTACAGAAATATAAACAACTCAGAACCAGTTTAGAGTTTTCATCTGTTTCTAAGTAATACAGCGGCTGATGTCTGGGTGTCACTGGGTGGGAGAGAATAGGTGTGCTTATAACATGCGGGTTATAACAGTGTTATATACCAGTGAGGGACAAGATCATTGTTTACCCTGTCCATCCCTGATTTAATAGAATAGAATAAACCTTTATTATCCCACGGATGGGAAATTTCGGTGTTCGGTGTTTAACATTGTAAGCTTTAAGGATAAGAGATTTTTAGGTAGTAACATTCTTTCTTTCTTTCTTTCTTTCTTTCTTTCTTTCTTTCAAGTTTTATTTTTTTTAATTTTTTGGGACCAACACAATTTTTAGTGCACATACAATTAGAGATAAAATTAGAGGTTTTAACAGATAAACACTATTTATAAGTCTAATGTTATTTGTAATTGCTACCAGGGATAGGGTGGGTTAGAAAATAGCATTGCCAATCTATTACATCTTTTAAAAAAAGAACACTGTTGGTTTTTAATCATTTTAAAGAAAAAGCCTGGGGAACTGAAAGACAGATCGCCTGTGGTGTACCTGCAAATGTTTTTTAAATGCAGCCAACAAAGTTAAAAAGGGACAATTCAGTTTCAAATCATTATTAAATTAATAATTAAATACCTTTAAAGGTTAGCTTATGGCAGATTAGCCTGTAGAGACCAGAGCAGAATTAGCACATGTGACAGACAATGTGCTCAGTTTTTTCTCATTTAGCTGAAAAATGTTCCCAATGATAGCTCAGTAAAATATAACATCAAACACTCACAAATATAGATCTTTGAACAGTTGGCTATGGTGGGGAGAAAGGAGGATGGCTGCATTAACGGGAAGAAACCTCTGCCGGAGGTTTCTTCCTGTTAATGCAGCCATCCACCAGGACCAGTTGGGAGTAGGAGAAAAGAAAGTAAGAACAGCACATATTTAGCATCACCCTTAAACATCTGTAATAATCTTGCACAAATGTAAATTGGCGCTATTTGTCGTGAACAAATGTGGGTACTTTGTATCAAAGTTTAGGAACTGTAGGTCCAAAATTTCGTGATTTTAAAGATACTGAAACAACAGGTGTCACAGCCGTACCTGCTCCCAACATACAGCAAACGTAATTGTGCCTCTGAACTGGCATCATACACTTAGAAACCCACAGGGCATTACTTGGAGTGAGAGACTGTGGCAGCAAAATAGGATACATTTTAATTAGGTGCATTTAGATAATTTAGATTCACTGAGACTGTATTTGCTGTCTTTCTTAACATCTCCGTTTTCTGTTTTCTCATATGTTTTTTTCTGTTTTCTGTTATTGATTATAATAACTTTTCACATATTCTCTCTTCCCCTCATAATGGTGCGTCATCTCTCCTAAACCCAGATTACACTCCAACTAAAAAGGCCCGACCTTTTTGCCTTCGTTTTTCATACACATGCTGTGTTTTAACTTTTGTGTTTGCTATCGAAGCGCCAGTTCTCGCGAGACTTTGTGGCATGTTTTATTTGAAGGAGCAGACCAATGAACGACTGGAACTGAACTGTGTATATTGTAGAAAGAGATGCATGTAAGTCCTTAAGGATTTGATACGCTTATGAACTAAATTAAACCTTTCTAAACCTCTCTCTTATACCAAGGACGTAAGATGTGAATAATATTCAGCTTTCGAGCTTGAATGTGAGAGCAGTAAATCAAGGGATAAACTGGTGTCCCTTAAAAAATATGTACTATCATTATTGTGTCAAGTCTTTGGATATGATATTTTCATTGTAGCTGAACATATTGAACTCTGAAGTACCATTTGAGTGAATCATCGTGGTCTAAGACTAACTGTAAATGTTGGCTTGTTGGGTGTTGCATGGTTTAGCAAGATTCTCTCTTTCTTTTTTTAAGGATTTAATGTGATTAAAAGAAAAAAAAATATTAGCGATGCGATATCCAGATGTCAGTAGTGGTCGTATACTGCGGATACAGTATTTACGGGAACCATTTGTAAGGCACAGATAGCAGAAAGGAAAAAAAAAAGTTTTCTGGATCTGATGCCTCAGCCTGTAACAATCAAGTGCTGCATCTTTAAATATTGGTGTCAAATCTAGTATCCTGTATCTTTTAATAAAGGTAATTCAAACCGAGCTTTTTGTTTGTCTTAAACCCAAGTCTGCTTTGCAGAAATTGAATAGCAGGTAACTAAGTTGTTCTCGTGACACGCTCATGTATTTTCACGCGATCGTGTTGATTTTTTCCAAACATGGTGCTGTTCTTTATGGCCAAACATCTTCACTTTAGTGTCGTTTGCCTAAAGGACATTGTTCCAGAAGTATTGCGGTTTGTTCAGATGTAACTTTGCAAACATAAGTCAAGCTAAAATGTTGATTTTATTGGAGCTTTCTCCTGGCAACACTTCCAAACACGCCACATTTGTTCATTCTTTATCTAATTATACTGTCATGAACTTTTATATGCTAACTGTGGCCGGCAGAGATATAGCTGTTGGATTTTTTGCAGGTTCCTCCAACATTTCACAGTCTGACCTTGGGAGGAATTTGCTGGGACACTCTTTGGAAGATTGTGGAATTGTCAATGGTCCAGACCAGCAAACTGCCAAAGCTTCTCCGTTCAGAGTTTCTCACACTTCCTGATGATCTGTGAATCAAGTGCATGTTATTAGCAGCACCTGGTTCCTACTTACTCCTTAATTTCTACAAAAACATTAAGGGTGTGAAACTCATTTTCACAGGACTATAACAGGGTTGGGAAATTAGAACAAAACAGCCTTTTTTGTTCAGATTTAGCGCATTGCATTATTTGCATATCATTTTATTATCAATTGATCTTGAAAACACATGGCAAAGTTTAAAGAGAAAAAAAAGAAGCACAGGAACACATGCCTGATACCATTTTTAATATACATAGAGGGAACAACATGGCCAGTAGGACCTCCAGAAAGTACAGTGCTTCAACACAGCTACATACTTTTTTTCTTCTTCTCTGAAACACAGAGGCGCTAAATGGCTCATTACAAACCCCTCCAAGTCTAAACGCACTTTAAATCCATCTTCAAGTATCCATGTCTCTGTTTCCTTACTGACACTTTACTGCTTCTTGATTTTTTTTGGGCAAAATGACAAGCAGTACAGTCCACACTATTTACATATGTAAGATGGCCTCGCTTGTCTGCTTATCCATTTGTGAAGCTTCTGTCACGGTTCATCCCTGAATCAGTCAGTCACGGCGGTGGTGGTGTTGTTGCTGCTGAGGGCCTGCTCTAGCAGGGCTCGCTGGGCGGAGGCAGGCAGGTAGAGGAAGGAGTAGACCAGCGCCAGCAGCAGCAGAGCCAGCAGCAAAAGGAGACCCCAGTCTGACGTAATTATAGGCTCATCACAGCGAGCCTGCAAAAATGACTTATTATGCATGGTGGAGAGGCGGCTTAAAATACTCACGGCAGTCTCAGAAAGTAATCCTACAGAAATAAATGCAAGGTCAGAAAAATTACACCTTTCAGAGTTGGAAAAAAATGAATACCGCTTATATAAGCTGTGTCCTTCACGCTTTATCCAAATGATATAAAATAAACGGTATCTAGACAGCCTGCCTTGTCACGTCTCTGGGCAAAAAGAAAAAAAAACAGTTTGAGAAAAGACCTGTAAAAATGTTCGTATTATGGCCGGCAAAGACTTTTGCACCAAACTCAAAGTGGTGCAGAAAAGATCAAAACAGTTCTAAAAAGAAAAAATACATCCAAGATAGAGAAAGCTGGTTAGAAATCAAGCAAATCCAGAGCAACAAGGAATCTTTAGATATCTTTTTTCACACAATCCACAGTAAGGATGCTGAAAAACTTCCTCTTAC